GGTGAGGGGGGTCCGAGTTTAACAGTTATCAAAATTGCCCACATGTAGCATTAGGCCTATCCACTTTTTGTTGTTTGGCTTCAACAATATTTAACTAACTACATTTCGACACGCTAGTTCGAAATTTTGAAAGCAAGTGATGGATTTTGTGTCTTGAAATACTACGTGACATAATCGCTCACAGCCCGGGTTGGCCCTGGCTGAAGCAGCCCGCCCACTTTGTGCTCTGAGTTGTAGTGATGGGGTCGATAGACATTTACAGGAATTTGAAATATTATGCGTTGTTAGGCCGGTCCCAGAGTGGCTTTGTAGGTCTGACCTGTAGCTCGCCTAGCTCGCACCGTGCAAATGAACGCAGTATACATAATCGTGTGCTTGAGCAGCGTCGCTGTGTGGTCTGTCTGTTGTCAGCTGAGCTGGCCGAACTGCGCGACGCGTCAGACGTGCTATTCAACAGTGTTGTAAAACACGTCAGTCATGTCTATCACGCAGCCTCTCTTCGTGTTTATTTTCGACTGAAATTCTTCACAGATCATCAAAATCTGCAAGAAGTAAGTATTATTAGGTGCTTTACTATTAGATATTGACCACAAAATCTGAAGAAATGCACTTTATCCTACATTAAAATTTCGATTCGAGAGGTTGACCAAGTTTCGACTGTTTGTTTACATTCTTAGGCCTGTGTGCTTATTGTCTAATTCGGCTGTACTGACAAGCAGAGGGCGCTCACTCAGACACAGAAGCCAACGCTCAGTGCGGCTTTTCTGACATGCAAACGGCGCGCGCTTGGCGAGCTACAGGTCAGACCTACAGAGCCACTCTTGGTCCGGCCTTTGTATTGATCAATAAAGATAGTCTTTATTTTTCGTATGTTTTACTGATAGGTCAGTAGTGCAATCTGAAACACTCTCAGACGATCCCTGCCATTAATATTTCCATCATTGTGGGTTTTGGGAGTTCGCTCTTCTGTGTGTGGATGTGTCTCTGAATTGAAGAGTTTTGTCTGTGTGTGTGTTTCTATGTGTGTGTGTGTGTGTGTGTGTGTGTGTGTGCGTGAGTGTGTGTGTGTGCACGTGTGTGTGTATGCGTGTGTGTCCGTGT